TATCCGAGGTCTCTTTCCTTTCCATATAAAGTTAGTGATCATTTTTTCCATATCCCTAAAGAATGTTCCCTGAATCCTCTTGTCTGAGGTGAATTTATACAATAGCTCTCAGTTCCTGGAGGGCAGAGGCCTTGAGATTTTGTTCTGGCTGACCTCGGCTTGAAGGGATCATGCTCTGAAGACAGCCTCTGGAGAGACAGTGCCCTACTGAGCTTCCTGCCCTCCGCTTGCTCACTTGAGCTCACACATAGAGCTTGACCTCAGTTTGGCCCCACAGCCCTCATTCTCTCCCTCTTCTCTCAGCTTCAGCCCCAGCACTACCAGTACCACTCCTGCCCCCAGGAAACCTGAAGCAGGAACCTTGACTCTGGTTGAAGGAGGGCACAGTGGAGGGGGCCAAGTCAAAGGAAACACTAGTTACATAATTGCCATTTGATAGTATACTGGCGTGTTGGAATTTTTGGAATGAATTTTTATGTGGTTTTGTATAATTCAGTAACTTTCCAGAAGCACAGGTAGCCTGGGCCGGGTGGGAGGTTTCCTGGTTTGTTAGGATTCACCCCCATTCTTCTTTGCATGAGAACAATGTTTTCTTCCTGAAAACGGGGGCTTAGAACATCAGCTGTGACAGGCTCCCTGGTAGTGGAGCATCCTAAAAGGTAAAGCAAAAGATTTTTGCCATGGAAACACCTTAGCAATGCCTGGGGACCTCTGGGGGTGGCCACAGTGCTTCCGACTGCTTGTCTTGGTGATGTAGCAGGCAGTGAAAGGGAGGTGAGCTCCCTGTGCCTGTGCTGTTCACAGCCTGCCAGGCAAGCAGAGTAAACAAATAATCCAATGGTCACTTGTTCCCAGCAGTTTTGTCTTGGCCGACCAACTTGGAGAAAACGTGTATAGTCATGCACTGTATAACATCCACTCAGGCAACGCCTGACCCCATACACATCTGTGGTCCCATGAGGTTATAATAGAATTTGGAAATCCCCATCAGAGAACAGGACATAGCATATAGCTTCCCACATGCAACATGTGTATCTCAAGTCTCTTGTATACAGAGCAATTATGCTGCTAGGCATATAATGGTGCAGTACATATATATATATAACCTACAATACATGTATGTACTGATGTTGTTGTTGTTGTTATGTGCCGTCGAGTCGGCCCCGACTCATAGCGACCCCTCCTTGGGTTTCCGAGGCAGTTATCACTACAGAAGTAGGATTGCCCAACCTTCCTTCCGAGGTATGTACTGATAGTCATAATAAACACCTGTGTTACTGACTTATGTATGTACTATACTGTACAGGAAGGAGGAACTCTGGTAGTATAATGGGTAAGGCATTTGGCCGCTAACCAAAAGGTCAGTGGTTTGAACCTACCAGCCATTCTACAGAAAAAAGACAGAACAGTCTGTTTCTGAAAAGATTTACAGCCTTGGAAACCCAATGTGGGTGTCACTATGAGTCTTGAGTTTGGTCCATTCAACTTATGAACAACTCCTACTTACCCTTTAAAAACCAATTCTGTCATGGCCAATGAAATGAAACAGCAACAGACGTGAAGTTTTATAATTTGGCAGATTCAGCATGGCATGCAGAATGGGAAAAATTGTGGGTTGAAGCCCTGGAATGGGAGACTCAGAAGAGGCATAATGAGCCCTTTCAGGAGCCTCATGCGTAAGATCAGATTATTGGCAGGACTGTAGGAGAGCAAGCAGCGTGGTCAGCCACCATCTTTGAGTGGATACCACCATCTTGGAGCAGGATGACACTGCATTCCACCTATCTTTCAGGTTCACCATAGCTTTAAAAATTAAAGTCTGTACTGGTGACGCTTCCCCTGCCATGACTGAACCTAGCAGAACCAGTTCAAAGCCCTGACAGATTTTTTTTATTTTTTTAAACCTCAAGTTTCAGTCCCTTCCTCCTCTCCAGCAAGTTACCTGACCTCTTGGTGCTTCAGCTAATTTGTGTGTATGTGTGTGTGTGTGTGAGAGAGAGAGAGAGAGAGAGAGAGAGAAACTTGGGTGAATGTTTGCAGAGGAGATTAATTTTCTTTTCAACAGTTCATACACATTTTGTTTCATAACACTGATTGCAATCCCTATAACGTAACAGCTCTCGTCCCACTTTCTCCCTGTGGTTACCTTTTTTCCTGTGGCGCTGACGTATTATTAAAGACACAGTTGGGAATGGATCTCATTCATAACTCAAGACTGCTCGTATTTTCTATATAAAAAGTTTACCATATAACAGTGTATGCTTCGACTCATAGGCAGCAGCATCCAGTCTTATGTATCACATGTTTCTTGAGTGTTGTAGTCTTATGTTTATGTTTAATTTTCTTTTGAAAATACTACCATGAAGCACATCATGGCTCCCAAATGCAGCAAAACCAGTGTTAAGTGATTGCAGCCGCAAAAGGCAAAAGAGAAGTAACAATTTGGAAGTGAAACAAAAGGTTATTAAACAACATGAAGGTGGAAAATTGGTGAATGCTGTTGCTCTTGATTTAGACTTGTTGCACTGGACAATCACAATGATCCTCAAGAAACAAAAAATTCTCCAAGCTGTTGAAAGACTGGCTCCACTGAAAGGTCCAAGTTTAACAAAAATGCAAGGGGGACATATATTAGCTATGACGTGAATTGAGGACTGAACACAAAGTGAATCCCTCTCAGGAGATTGATGATCGCTGCTAAGGCATGAAGCTTATTTAAAGAATACTTAAAGAAAAAGCAGGACCAGACTACGTACGATGTGGTGTTCGCATGATGTCCAAATCACATAACATCCTATTTCAGAGCACATATCATGGATGTTATGCAACATATGAGTGAACTTTTAGCAAGGAATATGACTGATTAAATAATTGATTAACATTCGTTAGGAAAACTACCTTCTTTTTTTTTTTTACTATAGGAAAACCATATTTATATTTTAGAGCATTTTGCTCTAAAAACAAAACCTGCCAGTGCCTAGGGTGGCCAGCACTGCACCATGGTCTTGTGGCCTTAATATAAATGACATTTGATGTTGATTTTGCTGGCAAATCATTCCTATGCCCATCTCTTCATGTTCTCCTTCCGACATCCTCTCTCCTCTCAACGGACTTGCTTGTACTCCTTTTTTCTGCATTGCCACTTATCATGTCCCTATTTTTCCTTAAGCTTGGTATCTTTGACTTAAATGAATTTTAGTTTCCATTATTGAGGATAAAGATGGCAAATAGGTTTCAGGATAGGGATTCAGAGACAGATCTAAGCAGGGATGAATGCTGATTGATTACCAGTGTCTGTGATGTTATGGGCACAGGGTTAGGTCCTGGTCATTCCTGTCTCAGATACTCATAAAAGTTAAAAATCAAGAAGATTCTTAGTCAACACATAAAACTGTGAATGGTGATTTTCTGAAAATGGTTAGATTACAGGAGTTTTAGCATTCTTTTGATAATCTGTGCTTTCCATGTTTTTGACAGTGAACATGTATTATTTTAATAATAAGGGAAAAAACCCACTCTGAGTTTATTTTGAAAAGAAATGTCTTAACTGAATGAAAGCAATGATTTGAATGTGTTGTGCCTTGATCCCGTTGCCTGCAGCAAAAGCTGTAGTATACTAGGTATGCTCATTACCTTTTCCTTTCCTGTACTCTGGAAAAGCCTTTGGCCCTGGGCCGCAGCTCTTGCTGTGAGGTGGAATGGTGGGACTGGCTGTTCATTTCTCATCTTCTAATCGAGCAGGTCGAGGTGGTGCATCTATATACGGCAAGCAGTTTGAAGATGAACTTCATCCAGACTTAAAATTCACAGGTAAGGATATAGTCTGACTGGACTGGGTAGGAAGGGGAAATGGATTTTAAAAGCTCACTCCTTTGGCTGTGATTCAAGTGGAATGTCTAACACCATGGCAGGGTGCCAGGAACAGCCTGGCTGTGGCGCCACAAGAGTGCTGGAGGATTTGAGAAAGCAGTGCCTCTTGCAGATTCCTGAGTGATTCTGAGTGTCCTAGACTCTAGCTACTTGTTGATTATTGCTGTTATAAACTGTAGGCTACCAAAAGCATCCTCAAAGAAGCAGGAGACCTTTGGTGGGTGCTTGAGGGGAATAGGGAAATAGTCCCAGCGGTTCATGGAGATCGTCAGGGATAGGAACTGGGGAGTAAGTGAGGACAGGGAAGGTGAGGTCTTCAGGGTACTGCAGTGAGAGCCTTTGTGCAGGGGCAGAGAGCTGCCCAAGGGGATGCTGGCTGGGTCTGGATGGTTGATAACAGACCAGGACAAAGTCTTGGCTTCTTTTCATTCCCTAGGATGCCTAGCAGCTCCAGGCTGTGAGGATTATTCATGTTCTTCCCTCACTACCTTTTTCTTACCAGGGGCTGGAATTCTTGCAATGGCCAATGCGGGGCCAGACACCAATGGCAGCCAGTTCTTTGTGACCCTGGCTCCCACGCAGTGGCTCGACGGCAAACACACCATTTTTGGCCGGGTGTGCCAGGGCATAGGAATGGTGAATCGAGTGGGAATGGTAGAAACGAACTCTCAGGATCGCCCTGTGGACGACGTGAAGATCATCAAGGCATACCCTTCTGGATAGACTTGCTGCTGCCTTCCTGGACACACCCAGGGCTTGGGTCCTCTGAGATGGCCCCAGAGAAGCAGCTTCCAGACAACCTAGAGTGACATATAACTGTAAACTTCATTTAGGCCTTGCAAATCACAGAGCTAAGGAAGCCTGGAGTCTTGGGTGAGTTAGAGATGGAAATATTTATATTTTAACAGGATGCTTCTTTTTTCTTTACATGGTGCTGAGGTTGACGTAGCATTTGCAGAAATGCCCTTACATGTTCAGGGCACAGGTTACATCCACCACGAATGACCCATACTGCTCCTTGTGTGTGTCTGCTCTGATACACTTGGAACAAAATGAAGAAGAATATCTGTCAGTCTAAGTGTCTAACCAAACTCCTTTGTGGGGAGATTGATATTCTGGCCTACACTGCTGTCTTCAGTGGCTGACAGCCACAGAATTCAAAACCAAGTAATATCTGTCAGCCTTCTTAACTCTGTGCACACCCTACTCTCCTATGTTTGTTCTTTCAGGCCACGTATGCATCTCTGTATATATTTTCCCTCAAAACCAGAGCATCGACACTGCTGTTTCTGACACTTAGACATCCCACGCAAAGCCACATTGAATTTTTGCCAAATGGAAAATGCATCCAGTAATCAAGTTTCTAAGAAGATGTCAAGTGGAGAATGATAATGTGTAATAATCAAGAAAAGAATGTATTAAAAGGAAACAGAAGCAGTGGCCATTTTTTCCACAGGAAAGAATAGAAATCTGGAGTGAACACACGGACAGACCTAATTCTCCTTAAAAAGCAGTATTCTCACACAAGAGAAAGGTATCAGTTAAGTTTTTTGTCTTGAGACTTTAGAGAAACTAGATAAAAGATTTTTATATGTTAAGGGTTTTTTATTTTGTTTTTTAAAAATCTTCCCATTTTGTTGGAGGGGTAAGGGTGAGAGGAAGAAAGTTAATACCTATATAATGCATAGAAATTTCCAAAATAAAATGCCATGGTTGGTTAAAATTGCTGTTGTGGTCTGGTTTTCAATGTTGTATGAGGTTCTAACATTTTAATCTCTGAAACCTTTCAAGTACTGTTGCAGAGGTCATGCCTTCAAGATTGCACTAGTACAGGGTTGTGGCTCTCCGGTGATCTTTTCTCATTTAACCCTTTCAACACCAAATTATTTTCTGCTTTGAATTTTGTGTTGATACCATGTGTTTTCAGTAATGGAAGGCCCGCTAAATAAGGGAGAGAAAAAAAAAATTTTTTTAGGTAATTAGGATTTTGATACAACTATGTGGGGCACACATATGTCCCAAATGGATGCTGGTGGTAGGATTGGTAAGGTGAGGCCCATTTCTTCAAATTCACGCTGTTATACAGGTACCTGCCAGGCAGCAGCACATGTTACAACTGTGATGGCAGCTTCCCAAGAAACCCGAGGGATTGAAAATGGCAGATGATACATATTTGACGGGTTGCAAGAGGGTTAAGGGCAGAACCAAAGAAAGAAACTAAGTGGTATGGATGGCATTTCTGAGTTACATGTAAATGGAACCAAATGGACATCCTGAGAGACCCAAACCATCCCTAGAACTTGCAGGACACTCACCTGCATGTCCTTACGTGTCCAGGAGGAGTATGTGTTATGTTGTTGCTCCCTTAAACTGATAGCTCCTTGAAGATGGGATTATAGTTTTAATGTTCTTTATCACACTGTAACTTTTGGAAATGGTGATTTACTTTATGGAATGCCACAAGGTGCTAGTCCCCAAGTTTCCCCCTTCAACGTCTTTCTCCATTCCTCCATCTCTTTTCCCCCAACAGCAACAGCAAAAAGCAACAACTACCACTACAATGTTACACTTCACAGAGATGGTTTTGGTGTGCAAGGTAGTGTTCTGCACTCTGGAAAAGTAGAAATGACTTTCTTTCAGTCTGGACTGTGTGAACATAATTGAATCTGTCTCTAGAGCAAAGAATAAGGCACCCATCCATTTACCTTTCAGAAGTATATAATCCTGAAAAGCCCTCACTTTTCCAGGTCATGGGTGTGGTGGGTATGTACCACCTCTACTTTGAGAAGTAAAGATGGTTCGGCGTACACATGCAGAGAGCAGCACAAGAACACCTGTTTCTGGAAAGGAACACCAAGCACATGCGGAGTGATCACACAGATGGGCATCTATTAGGGATATGCCCTCAGAGTGAAACTTGAGTTCTTTCACAATTTCTAGTGACTGTCAGCTGGAGATGTAGAAGTTCTTGTTTCAGTGTACATATTATATCCACTGCCATCAAATTGGATTCTGACTCATCACAACCCCGTAGGACAGAGTAGACCCTCCATAGGGTTTCCAAGGCTATTGGTCTCTGGAAGTAGACTGTCTCTCTGGCAGAGGAACTGGTGGGTTTAAACAACACTGATCTTTTGGTTAGCAACCAGATGTTTAACCACTGTGCCCCCAGGGCTCCTAGTTTCAGTAAAAGGGGAGTTCTTTTCAAAAGTGCCCTAGTTAATCCTTCTGTCACTTGAGTGTCCACACACTCAGGATAAGTACAGTTAGGACAAGTTTCATAAGTTAGTACACAGATTTCTCATTTTAGTCACATCACACATAGATCAAGGTGCATGTAGCTTAGGAGAAGGCAAGGTGTGGGACTTTGGGAGCTAATCCAGAGACAGGAGACAGCACTTCAGTGGGTTGGGAAGAAGATACTGGACATTTTGGAGCAGGCGTAGAGTGTAGACAAGCTAATGGAAGAGACCTTCAAGCCACTGACTGTGGGATAGGTGAGAAGTTTGGCACCTGGAGAAAAGGTATATGGCCCCCAAAGGCCCTAACCTGGCGCTTCTTGCACTTTACCATGTGCAGAAATCACTTGTTAAGATGCACTTTCTCACACAGCATTCGGCCAGAGAGTGCATTTCTAACCAGCTCCCAGCGGATGGCAACGGCTGCTCCGTGGACCAGCCATGCTGTGAGTAGCAAAGTCCCAGAGTGATGTTTGTCCAACATGCAACTGGGGAGGAGAATTTTTCCATTCAAAGCACAGGATGAACGGTGATGGCTTCTGGCTTTGCAACTAAGATGAAGCTTTAGGAAACAGTCCTTTCCAGTCCCACTTCAGTGCACTGTGGACATCAGACTATAGTGTGTGGCACTAAGCCCTGGGTGGGCACTGGAGTAGATAAGGTGGTGCAGCCAGTAGACATCGCAGAAAATGCAGGGGAAGTGTCATCAGCAAGTATGACATTGAAGGGAAAGAGCTCTAGAGCTAAACTGCCAGAGTGCAGATCCCAGCTCCACCACTTGCCAGCCGTGTGAACTTCAAGAAGTATCTTAAACTATTTTGTGCCTTAGTTTCCTCAACTAGGGGATGATGACCCTAACTTCATGGTACTGTTGTGAAGATTAAATGAACTAGTCCAGGTAAAGCATATAGAACAGTGCCTGGCATTTAGAAAACACTCAGGTGTCAGCGATTGTTAATGCCAGTGGCTCTTGAAGCCACCACATGCCTCTCCCACCTCTCCATCCCCATTGTATCAGGGACCAGAAATCACACAGCCTCTCCCTCCTGCTGGAATCAAGACCAAGCTCTGAGAACAAGGACCTGCTCTTGTTTCCCTCTGTGAGTTCCCTCGGCACCTTGCACAGTGCTTTGAAGTTATTGTTGAGTGAATCAAATAAAGTTGTTCGCCATCAGGAAAAGATTGAGATCCATTTGCAGAAATAGCTAGATGCCAAGTGTCTATGCCCAGGCTTCAGCTGGTATGGCAGTAAACCCTTCTCTCCACTAAGCCCTCTGGAAGTCCTCAGTTTGATTTATTTTTGGATCATGTCTCCAGAATATGTCAAAATAGCTTTCCCCACACAAGGGAAGTGATTCCTACCCCCAGATTCTCGAGCCAATCTGAGCTGTTACTGTGGCCCCTTTCTGGCACCACATTCATTGCACATGTGGAGGAGGAAGAAATGAAAAGTGTGCTTGCTTAAATGACAGATGACTGCTTGTAAAGCGCTTTATAGCCTCAGAGCCCTGTTGTCTATAGAATGGGTTACTATTTAGGTAAGTACCAGGATAGGGCCATCTTACAGCAGCATTCTTTTATAGGTGCGACTGAAGTGGAGTACATGGGAAGAAAACATGTCAGGTTCTCACTCTAAGGTTGGCTTGTTCTGGTTTTGAAATTGGGACCCCCTGAAGCACCCCTCTTTGTTCTTCCAAACCAGTAATTCACAATCTGTAACTGCATCTGGAGCACAGATAGCCTCTGTTTGCAAGCAGAGGGATGTGAGGCTTTGGTGTGATTGGGCAAATAATTGTACCTGTGGAGCTTGATATCCTTATTCATCAAGGCAACATTTGAACTAGGCCCCATTTAGCTGTAACTTTCTGAATCTAGGTCATTCTCGGAAGGTTGCCTAAGCTGCTGTTTCCAGCTAGCATGGTATTTTGGAAATCTGCCACTAGAGGCCACTATGAACACAGTTTAGCCTTGCAGCTTCGGCAGGAGCCAACGCCTTTCCCAAGCCCTTAGGATTTTACTGAGCCATGCCTGCCACCACCCTTGGATGTGGAAAACAACCAACTTCTTAGATGTCAGCATGGCACTGAATGGGCTTAGGAATGCGCTCTCTGGCACAGGCCAGCCAGCCCTCTTTCTTATCTATTGGACCAGATGGAGGAGCAGCCCCCACCCCTGTGTACATGGTAAGGTTTGAAAGCCCTTGTGACCAGGCCCTGGTTCTATGGACCCTAGTTCTATGTTGTTATGTTCTCTTGAGTTAGTTCCAACTCATAACAACCCAATGGAAAACAGAACAAAACACTACCCACTCATACGCCATCCCCACAATCATTGCTGTGTTTGAGCCCATTGTTGCAGCCTCTGTGTTAGTCTTTCTCATTGAGGGTCTTCCTCCTTTTTGCTGACCCTCTATTTTACTGAGCATGATGTCCTTCTCCAGGGACTGGTTCCTCTTGATAATATGACCAAAGTATTTGTGATGAA